ATTCGTTCAGAAAATGCGTAAAACTATATCTAGATGTAGGAAACATTCCATACGAAAGACTTTTGAGATCCATCAATTTTACTTTTCAGGTTCACATGGAAAACTGTGTAAGTCTTAAAGACAACAACGAAAACTCACTGTTACAATTGAACAAAAATATATTGTCACACTATTTTGAATGTGATAAGCATTGGTAGATTGTGTTATAGAATCTACCATTTCAATTGTTGTGCAAGTTCTAGATCGATTTGTGTGCTTCTCAATTGCTATATGTTGAAGTTATGAAAATCCAAGGTAATTTCTACCACTTGGAAACTTAAAGGGAAATGACTGAACTATCATTGTTAAGATATGTATAAGAACGAAAGTTCCACAGACGCCCATTTTCGTTGAATCTGTGCCAACATAGATTCTATCAAATATAAACCATTCATTGGAGGAAAAACGCTCTCGTTTAATTATTCAACATGGTTCTAACGCATGAACAGGTAAAGATGCGTGCTGACGCATTTTGAACGAGAATTTGAACGTATTTGTACGCGTCTACATATCTTAACGCGTACAAACGATTCACGATTTCGAAACGCATTCAAAAAAGCAGTGATGGATGCATTACCACTGTCTTCAGTATAGAAATGCGTCAGAACGCCGAAATTTGCAACAAAAACACATCTGGATACGTTTAAAATGCGTTTGGTAATTACATTGGTATGAGTTAGATACATTCAATCATAGGCTGTTTTGTAGAGCGTATTTTACTGCATCTTTTTATCATAGAGACAAATTTTTAATAATGTCTTTTAATATAAAAAAAATTAATTATACAAATCAAGTGAGCAAACCTGGACCACCCTTTATATAAAGGTTAGACTCTGAAATCTTTCTCATTAAAACCTAAAAAACGGTGAAATATCGTAACATCCAGTTGTTTAAGTCGTTTGATCTGAAGAAGCTATCCTTCATGGAAAATGATCTGATATGCTAAACTTTCAGTCCTTCCTTGAAAAGATGTTCATTGTTTTGAAATTCCGTAATAGTAGGTTTTTTATGTAACTTAGTTCTGGCTGGAGCAAGATGAATGAAATTTTTACTGAGTATACATCTAAATGACCTCTATCTATGGTAAAAATTTCAGAATGTTGCTTTTATTATTGAAACTCAGCTAGTGGATGTCTAACTCGAGTTTATTAATTTGTAATTTGTATAGCACACTTCTGTTATAATAGTCAAAAAGAAAAAGAAAAAGAAAAAGAAAAATTCTTATCTCGTTTACATATTTATAATTTACATAAGACACCCCTGTTGAAATAGCTAAAAGGCCAAAGGTAAATTTTTATCTAATATATGTCCTTTATAGTTTATATAAGGCACCTCTGATGAAACATCAAACGGTTGAAAGACAAATTTGGGATGAACTAGAAGGTATCAATACCAAAGACACGCTTTACTCGAAGTGCGAAAAACTAAAGTTGACAACTGTAGTCTTCAATTACCATAATCAGGATCAAGGAAATATTATTCACAGTAGAGATGTACAGGGTAAGCCTTTTTTATACCCTATACCCTATCACAAAAGAATTTTCTTACCCTAACTCTACCCTACCCTACGACATTCGTACCCTAATCCTACCCTACAAAGCCATACCCTAACTCCAGAGTTGCAACCAGTAGGGTTTTTTCTTACTGGTACCGGTACCGGTATACCGGTAGAAATCATTTGGCTTTTTTTGACCCTATAAACGTCAAATTAATCCCTGGATTAGTCATATCTACATATTAATGAACGCAGTAATGATAAAACAGTCTTTTTTAGTACTTTTCACTGTTTATTTCCATCGATTTTTTCTCTCTTGATATCTGTTAGCGAGCCGAAAACTTTACGGACCACATATTCTATATCAGCTTCTAAATTTAGTAGATGTTCCTCAAACACGATAGTTCTTACTTAGTTGTATATTGAATCAACTTCTTACGAAATGATCGCATTGTGTTCCTCGATATCTGTATGATATGTATTCTATAAACAGTAACGGCTTACCGATGAGAGAGGGCTTGAGAGGTCGAGTCTCTCTAGAATATGAAAAGATATCTAACTTTTTGTCAAAATTTTCACTACTTTCTGCGATGTTTGTTGAAGTTTCGTAGAAATCGCTGATAAAAACTAGCCTTTTTGGTTCTTTTCGCCCTTTCTTCTAACAAAAAGCCAAACAGAATTACTTTCTGTTAATAAAATCTGGCAAAAATCCTATAATTTTAGTCTTTTCTGTTTAGTATGTCCCAACATTTTATATGAGGCCACTTTAGCAAAATTTCCAGACTCTATGCCAAATTTACAGCTCTTCATGCTCTTAAAAACAAATAGTAATTCTGGAATAGTAGAAAAACTATAAATAAATTTATGATTAATTACACTGCTAAACAATTATTCAGTTATGGGTTATTAATATAGCCCGATGTGACAGTGAGCAAGGAAAATATGATAAATGTATTTTGATGAGTTTTCATTTAGTAGAATGATTTAGTTGATTTTTTCTGAAGAAAATAGTCTTCGACATCGATAAAAAGTTTTTGATTTGCGAAAAAATCACTGTTTTATAGTCATTTTTTCGAAAAAAATAGGGAAAAACTGAGAAAAATTAGAAAAATTCCTTACCGGACCGGACCGGACCTGCCGTTTACCGTTACTGGTTACAGCTCTGTCTAACTCTACTCTATCCTATAGAATAAAGATGTGCAGAGTAAGCCTTTTTCGTACCCTATATCCTATTTCAGAGGAATTTTCTTACCTTAACCCTATCATACCCTGTGACATTCGTACTCTAGCACTACCCGACAAGGTAGAATATGGTTACCCTGTGCATCTCTATGTCTACCAGATCAATAGCTCGCGAAGATGTCATTAAAAACTGACCATTTGCTGTAATCTTGTGGTAGTCATCGAAGAATTGAATAATAAAATATCGACCCCATGACTCTGTGAATTCTTTTAGGCTGATCATACCCTACCCTATAGGGTAAGGTAGGGTTATCCTGCACATATCTAATTCACAATGGTCTACATAAAAATTGGAATGAGACATTTCACCATCCATTAGCCAATGAAATCATTTTAGAACATATCATAACGGACGTGCTGTGCATTGCTTTCAACTTCTTCCCAAAAACGACATGAGCTTCCCTAAGTCCGTATTTTTCTTTCAATGAGAGTTTTAGAAATTTATTAGCAGTATTACTGCGGCGTCTTTGAACAACTTTTCAATCACTAGGTATATGTAAAGACATGCAACCAAACACTTTCCACGATTATCTCAGACCATACTATGCTAAAGCTTGTCACTCTTCAATGACAGGCTCGCATATCGTCTACAGGAAATATGTTCACTGTCACTCTTACTATCTAGTGATCCACGCGGGATAGTCCCTGATGCTCTCATACTCTATCTGATGATCAGCCCTACGTAAACCCTGCCAGTTTTAATGTAATTTAGTCGAATACGTTCATTTACATGCCATATTGTTCGATCTGGGTAATGCGCTTTTTGCTCTTTGAATAAATTGTTTGAAAAAAACTATGAATTTGAAGACAATAATGTCTGTAAACTCGTTTTTATTAACAAAATAAATCGTATTTTTGCAGGTTTCTCGCGTAAAAAGTGAAAATTTTAACGCGCCAAAATGAGCTTCTGTTTGCCTGGGTAGTTATCTTAAGATTTTGCGTGAAACTAACGTTGGACAGAAAGATCCATACAATAAAGCCAACGAAAAAGGCAACCTATATAGATCCCTGGCTTGGAATTTTACTTGATCCAGAGTGTGCCCGTCAAAAGAGACAATCCAGCTTCAATCTGAAGTCGAGTCGAATAGGAATGTCGGTTTGATTGAAGTTACCAAAAATTACATGATGAGACCGTCAAATTGATGTAACCAATATTAGCGGTAAAGTGTCAAAAGACCGAAAGTCAAAACGTCGAAGGGCAAAATATCGAAGAAAAAACGTCGAAGAAAAAACATCGAAGAGTCAATATGTCGAAAGGGTAAAACATCGAAAATCCAAAAATGTCGAAAAAAAAATGTCGAATGTGCAAAATGTCGAAATGTAAAAATGTTGAAAAGAAAATGTCGAAAAGCAAAATATCGAAAATGTTGAATATGAATGAGAGTACCGGGAAATTTTCTAATAGTGCATTGTCTATTATTTTACGTCTGTCAAATATAAATCTGGTATATCAAAATCACTTGAATCAGGTAATATAGGTGTTGTTTTACGACGAAGTTTATTAAGTGATGATTCTATTTGAAAAAATAAAATAATAGTAAATATCACAGAGATATGTAACATACTAGCTTCTTGTGGTGATAAACTAACTGCTAGACCAGCTTGAGAAAAATTTGCACGAGCAAGTTCTTGACCATATATTAAACCAATTGCAATTGATTCTTCTTTTATTCTTTTTTTAACTACACTTTTGAACATTCTCCATTCTATTTCCTCGGGTGATGGTAAATGACTACCATGATTACCTTTACTTTTTATAAATTGATCATCAGAATCTGTATGAACACTAGCACTACACGTACGTTCTTGACAAGTCCAATATTTCACTTTCTCAGTTGCTTTATTCAACTTGTACAGATATCCATCATATACTAAAAGGGGCTTTCCCTTGTTGCTTGTGATAAAAGAAATACTTGTTGATATGAAAAGATGAATAAAATAAATACTTATGTATTACAATACGATAAATGATTTAATGTCCACATATATGGTCAGAAAGAGATATATATGGACGAATAGTAAGAAAAAATAAATAATGAGCGAAAAGAAAGACACTAGTTGAGGCCGTGACGAAAGAAAGGAAAAATCTACATACATGCATATGCCCTTATGAAGAAATTTATCAGCAATAATGTAAGAGAACGAATAGGGTATGTATATGAATCATTTTTTTTTTCTTTGGTACAGATTAGAAAATTTTCGACATTTTGTACTTTCGATATTTTTCTCTTCGACTTTTTGACTTTCGATATTTCGCCTTTTCGACATTTAGTTTTCGACGTTTTTCCTCCGACATTATGCCATTCGACGTTTTTCTTTTCGATATTTTGCCTCTTCGATGTTTTGCCTCTTCGACCTTTTGACTTTCGACCTTTTGACTTTCGACCTTTTGACTTT